CAAAGGGACGGGGCAAAGGGACGGGGCAAAGGGATGGGGCTGGCCACCGCTCAGCCCCTGGCAGCAGCAGGTACAGGTAGGAAATAATTTTTTTATATTAGGAAATAATTTAGGAATAAATTCTCCACTGTGCGGGGGGTGAGGCAGTGGCCCAGGGTGCCCAGAGGAGCTGTGGATGCCCCATCCCTGGAGGGGTTCAAGGCCAGGCTGGATGAGGCTTTGGGCAACCTGGGCTGGTGGGAGGTGTCCCTGCCCATGGCAGGGGGTGGCACTGGGTGATCTCTAAGGTCCCTTCCAACCCAAACCCTTCATATGACAAATGGGCAAACCAGCTGTTGGAAATTGTTATAAACACAGAAAATGGCTATAAATGCAGCACAGCCTTTGGATTAGCTCAGGATAAACCGCAGCATCAGTAGCATCAGCACCAGACGTGGCAGGTGACAGAAAAGCACAAAAACTGCAGCACAGCCCCGCGCTGGCAAACAAAACTGATGCTGGGCAGCACGTTACACCCGGGCAAACCCTCCTGGCCCTTCCCAGCATCTGTCCTGGAATCATTCTGGTCTGGGACAAAGATGGGGACAGCTGAGCCTGTGGCTTTCAGCAGAGCCTGGGGCTCGGTGGCTGCAGGGGACCCAGGCAGGGTCCCGGCGGGATGGGGGATGCTTCAAACCCCAGGGCATGAGGGGGAGAAAAGGGTGGAGAAAAATCGAGGACATATTTCTGAACCAAGCGCCTTCCTTTGGGAGGGAAAAACGGCAGCAGGTTCAGCCCTGAGTGATGGCTGGGACATGGCTCTGGAGGTGACCCTCGTGCCCAGTGCGGGCAGGGACGGGGACCACGCCGAAACCGGAGCATCCCTCCAGCGAGCGCTGGGGCCGTCACTGCCATCAGCCGCATCCCGTCCTTGGGAAAGGGCACAGGAATTTTTTTCTTCACCGGTGACTTTCCCATTGCCCAGCAGCAATGCAGGTTTCCACCTGATTCAGCCCAAGCAGCTCAAAGGTTATGTTTTTCTGTTCATTTAGTGTTTTCTGTTCATTTACACCCTCTTCAGAGCTTTTCACCGTGATCACTGGGGAAACCACTGGGGCTGCAGGACGGGACCGCCACCTCCATCCCCTTCCCCAGCATCCCTCCCTTTGGGGCAGCGAGCACCCTGCTGTGCTCCAGCCTGGAGAGAGGTTCCGGGGGTCGCTGGACCAGCTCCCCCAGCGCAGCAGCTCCGGTCATCCTGGTGAGGAGCCCGGCCCCGCGGCCACCATCCGCAGAGGCCCCCGGCGTCGGTCCCGCAGCGCTGGCTTATCTGCTCCCCATCACCGGTGGTGCGGGTCGGAAGCATCGCGGCAAATCCCTCGCAAGGGTCTTTCTGAGTCAGTGGCACGAACTGCCTCTCGGAGCATTTCGGAACCAGACAAACAAAATTACACTCTCAGTCTGGCTGCTCCTGGATTCATCGAGTGTTCGCAAACCTCTTATCAGGCATCTGATGGCAAGTTGCTATTTGAGTTAGAAAAATACCTATTAGTTATTACAAAACTCCGAAGTTTCCCAGCTCAGCTCATTTCTCAGCGCGATTTCCTGCGGCAAGCGCAGGTCGGGGGGTGCCAGCAGAGCCCATCGCCCCGACCTCACTCAGCTTTTCCCCGAGTGGGGCAGGAGCCTCCATCCAGCTCCCCAAAACATGGGAGCAGGGTCACAAAACCCCATTTACCCTCCACTCCCAGGCATCGATTCCACAGGACCACCCCACGCCAGCTCCCTGTCCCTTGCCTGCATCCCCATGGGGTGCCACGGGCAGGGGCACAGGGTTCTGGGGGTCCCATTTGGCCAGGGGGGACCCCACGTCCCCATAACCCTGATGCCCTGCTCCCACCCAGGAGGTTTTGTCCCCGTGGGCCCCTGGGTGCAGGGTGAGATAACCAAAGACAGAAAATGCGAGATGCTTTGCATGATTTGGAGATATTCAAATGAAACGCCGGCCGAGCGATGGGAGAGGTGGCAGGATAGCTAGAGGAGGAAAAAAAAAACCAAAACACCAAAGCAAAGCAAAGCTCTGGTATTTGAGCATCATCAGATCCGTGGGCTCGTCGGTTCGGGCACTTTCACCTCATGGGGTAGAGAAAGTCCTGGGATATGGAGAAATGAAGAACCTCCAAACCCAGCGGTTTACACACTTTTCTACGTGACCTGACACCGTTATCTGACGGTGGAAATTTCCTACGTTGAAACGTAATGAAAGATCAGAAGAAAATCTTGACTTTTGCAAAAAAAAAAAAAGAGACTTGTTGTCCTAACTGGATAGGAGCAACTTTGGAAAGTGCCGATAAGGGCAAAATCAGGTTGTTTTTTTCCTACAGGTTCAGCAATTTCACAGCCATAAATTGAGATGTTCCTTCCAGAAAAGCACACACAGGTGGAGGTTACCAAAATATCCACAAACTGCAGAGCTGAGGGGGCTTTGGTCCAAGCAGGCCATGAGCATCCTGGTCCCCATCCTGCTCGCTGTCCTGGCGCTGGCAGCCCGCCCGGGCCACGGGGCAGCCCTGGTGCCCACCGACAACTTTCTGACGGAGAGCATCAAGCGGCTGAGCGAGCTCCTGGAGACCAAGGTAGGGCTGGTTCCTGCAGCTCAGCCCGTACCCGCGGAGGGGAGGAACGGAGGGTTTCACAGGGCTGGGCGAGAGCGACGCTGAGTCAAAGGAAGGTGCTGAGCGCGCGGTGCTGAGGAGGAGCGGTCGGCCGGGCGGATGGGGGTGTGTGTCTGTGCGTGCACGGGTCAGGATGGATCCGCAGTAGCGGTTTGGCTGTAGCCTGATCGCTCCTCTGCTTTTGTGTCTTGATAAAGGTTTCCTGTGACAAGATGAACGTGACAAATATATTTGCAGGCAATAAGGTAAGAGAGGAAAAAAAAAAATCGAACGCATCCTTGTTCAAAAACAATCATACGGCACGATGGGTCCTGGGAGAGGATGCTGGGGGCTGGAAGAGAGCACGGGGCAGCCCAGAGGCAGCTGGGACCCCCAGGAGTCCTACCCGTCCCAGGGCACAGAGCCCGCTGCGAGCCCCCGGCAGGGACAGGGGGCTGTCAGCACAGAGCCCCTTGGGGCAGGGACAGGGGGCTGCCAGCACAGAGCCCCTCGGGGCAGGGACAGGGGGCTGTCAGCACAGAGCCCCTTGGGACAGGGACAGGGG